ACTTTGTTCCGCACTTCTGTGGAAAGTGCAGCCCCACCGTTAAGTGAGGAGCATGCCCGCAGAGCCGTGGCAGCCACGGTGGAGGAGCAGCAGCCGATGTGCCAGGCACACTTGGTGGCCTGTGCCCGTCCTTGCTTGCCTCTTGTGTTACCTTCACGCACCTCTCTCTCCAGTTTCTGTAGTGGAAGAAATCTCGCTCTCCTGTAGTGTTGCTTGCAGTAGGTGGTGCAAGACTCGGAGCCTTGGAGGCTGCAGGGAGCCTGGTGCCAAAAAGACCCATGCCCTTTCCGTCCGGCAAGGAATGCAGAAATGGCGTGGGTAGGGGCACCCCGACATGTGCCGTGCCCCCCCCCCCCGAGCTGCTTCTTTGACACGGGCCTGCTTCTCCCGCCTGGCTCCCATCTTCTTACAGCCTGGGCTGGGCTGGGCTGGGCTGGGCTGGGCTGGGCTGGAGCTGACAGGCAGAGCCTCCCATGAAATGTGAGCTTCCAGGGCCGGCGATGGATGCGCTTGCTCTCCCGTTATTAGCAGGCTAATCTTAGCTCAGTGACACATCTCTCCAGAAAGTGTGGCTAATTGAAACGCAGGCTGCCTGGGCAGTCCTGGAGGTTTGGATTGCCAGCTTCAAACAAGCCCCGGTCCGGGGTAAAAGCTTCCAAAGATGTCTCAGCTTCCAGCAACTCCACCCACGAAATGCAGTCAGGCAGATTTCTGAGCCAGAGATGGGCAGCTGTCGTAAAATGTGGGCACCTGCAGTGAGGGCACGGGGGACCTCGGCTGCCATTCCACCAGTGATGCATGTGCTGGGCGAGTTTTCTTTTCAGACCCAAATGAAGGAAGCTGTTTTCCTATCTCGGGAGAACTGCACAACCCTTGGTGGAACGAATGTTATGCAGAGGAGTGAACACTGCGGCACCCTCGGGACTGGTCTCTGCAGCTGGTTCCAGGCTGCTCCGTGCTCTGCTCCTGGCCTTGCCAAGCCAGAGGCATGCTTGAGGTGCTTTGCCATGTTTGGGAGGGGCTTGGAGGAGCTGGGGGCCTATGCAGAGGAACGAGGGTCTCCGGGGGCCCACAGCTGTCAAGCCCAGCTCCACATTGTCAGCCAAGCTTGGCCCCCTACTCTGGCTGACCCGTTCCTTTCCCAGCTCCACATCGTTCATGTGGGTGAGCCAGGCCATGTGGAAGGCGCCTCTGGCAACTCTTGCAAGCCCCAGCAGAGCTGCCAGATATTCCCCGGGCTCCTGCTTTTTGTGCTCCTGCTAGAAACACCGGTGAATGGTCCAGAAAGTGCATTTGCAAAGTTTCTCACTTGGACCTTTTCCCATTTCTCCTAGGTTTGAGCAGAAAACCTGAAGGGGGGGGCGGGGGGGAGTTGTCTGTGGAAGGCATTCTTGTTGACAGGCAGATGAATAGGCAGTCAGACCCTGGGGAACACGGGCCCTGGGCACTGACCTGATAATTAGGATCAGTGGCCTGGGAATCTGTTGAGGGCAGGAGGGTCCAGCAGGTCAGCCCTGCAGGAACGTGGCCTGGTTTGCCAGTGGTGAGATGCGGCATGATCTTGTAATGTGACCGCTTGGTTTTTATTTCCGCGCTGGAATGGAGTCAGCCTTGGTGGCGCTGCTCCCTCCTGCTCATGTCCCCATCCCCAGCTGGTCTCTCCTGGAACACTCTGCCTCGTGCTCTGCAGCTGAGCCGCAATGATGGCCCCGCTTGGGAGGAGGAGCCCTGAAGGCTGGGATTTCAGTGCTGCAGCCCGAAGCCCAGGGGCCGCGCTGCCACTTCCCCCTCCTGCTGCTGAGCAGGCAAACCTGGCTGAGTCTACGGTCTAGTGGGGGGCCCGTTGCTAGCCTGCCCAGCTCCTGCTCCCTGCCATGCAGCCCTCTCCCGGTCCTTCCTTGTGACCACAGAGCATTCAGACTGGCATTAAGATTCTCAGGAGTGCAAGCACAGCAATTCACAGTCCTCTCTTCGGGGCAACCCCTGTCCAACGCTTCCTGCTGGCCTGGGTAGTGCAGCAGGGTTTCGTTTCCCCCGAGACCGAGAGTGCCTTTGCAACATCTGTTTATTTCCAAGGGTGTGCAAGAGTTGTGTGGAAGCAAAGGCGGCCCACGTGGCTGGCTGGGAAACGCCAGCCCTGCAGGGACCTCTCGGAGCTGCTCCAGCCTCTGCAGCGCTTTCTGCTGCCTCTGGCGCCCCGTCCTCTGGCGTGAGTGCTCACGCGCGCTTTCCGCCCTAGCAACCCTCACCGACATGCCGCTCGGTCTGTTGCCAGATTCAGGCCGCTGCTGTCCTCTGCCTGCAGGGAGGCTTTGGGGTTCTCGGGGCCGAGGGGGGTCCGGACATCAGGGGTCATTCATGCCCCTTGGCTGTGTCCCTGCGCACCCGCTGGGTTTGCCAGGGAAAGCTATAATGGAAAGCGTGCCCTGCCAGTCCAACAGCCAAACACGCAGCATTGTGTCGGGTTTACTGCTGATCAATGTGCATTTACCTTGTGCATTTACCTTGTGTTAGAGAAAGACAGGGAATGTTACCAGTAGAAGAGGAAGGGGAAGTGTTGTAATCAGGTTGTCTCCTTTCAACAGCAGCGAGTGCCCCACCAGGGTTTTGCTAGTGCACAAAGCCTCTGAGCATACACTAAGTGAAATGTTGTAACCCATCTGCTGTCGTAACTGGAATTTCAAAACAAGCTATAAAAATAGTGCTGGAGGTGCATCCTCTGCATGCATTTCGTACTTCAGAAGATCCTTTGGGATGGAAAGAGGGCGCAGTTTCTGCTTTGCGCTGTGAAACTTTTGACCGTTGTGCCCGTGAGGATTTCTCTGCTCGGCACGTGAGCGGGGCAGGCTGCAGGAGGCTGCAGGGAAACTGCGAGGCGTGAGGCGCAAGCCTATCTGTTTCATGGCCTGCTTAATAATTAAACTTCGGAACAGGACAACGAATGCAAGCGAGCCCGGGAAAGGCGGAGGTCTCAGGCATGGACTGGTCTCTCCCGTTCGCTGGCCACCGTCCGCATTCCTGCATTAGTATATAGACGCGGAAGGGCACGTCCTTCCACTGGAGCGTCTTCCCAGCTGTCTGGGAGGGCCATGCTGGGGCACGGGTGGCGCTGCCCTCGCTGTCTGCCGCTGTGCTGGGGGTACTTGTCCCTCTCCTGCAGCGTTCAGTTTAAAGCCCTCACGGTAAGCTTTGCCAAACTTTGCCCAAACGCCGCCTTCCCCGTCCTTGTACGGGGCGGCCCATCGCTTGCATGCGAGCAGCTCTGGACCCGTTTCCCCGAGGAGGCGGTGTCACGTGCCCTCGTGAGGGTGATGGGTTGGGATCGTTTCTGGACTGTCCCACCGCCCGAGAGTGGGCCACGGGTCGCAGGGTGTTTTGCTGAGTGAGCTTTGCCGCAGCCGTGCCAGCTTCATGGCTCACAGACTGTGCCTGGTGGGGCAGGTGTGAGGATTTGGGGGCTGGTTTTACTCCCTGGGTGAAGCACACCTGGCCATTCACTGCATAGGCCAAAGAGGGAAGCGTGCAAGAGGCACCCGATGAAACGAAGAGATGCAATGCCTGCTCATGAAGCTGAAGCCGTGCAAATATTGCCCTGTGTGCCTGTAACTTCAGCATGGCTTAGTGGACAGGTTTGCAACACGGCTCAGGAAGTGCTCTGACAGGTTTCTGGAAGGACACAAAAAGGGTACGCTTTTTTTGAAACTGACCCTTGTCTTCCTGATTTGTATCAGGATTTAGCCTATTGAGTTAACTTGCCTTGACCCAAATCAATCCACCCTGGAAGGCCGCTCTGAGTCTGGGGTTCCAGAGCGGGAAAGCTCCTTCCGTGGGACCCTCTGGCCCTGGGGCAAGAGGAGCCAAGCTGTGGGTGTGCCTGGTAGGGAAGGGGAGCATGCGAAACCCGGCCCCTGGGGGCGAGGTGGCCTGAAAGGCAGAGCCAGCAGCTTGGCTTCCAGCCAGCAAGCAGATGGCTGCTTCCAGTAGCGCTGGCCTGGCGGACCACCCGCCATTTTGCGCCAGCCGAAGCGTCCAGCGCTCCCAGAGGGGAGGCTGTGCCGAGCATGTTGCTGCAGGCTCATGCGGCAGTGGCTGCGCCAGCTCTGGTGCCTCCGGCCAAGCTGATTCAGCATGTGGCGGAAGGAGACACTTCTCGGTCATCTGCGCACGGACATGGAGGGCCCCTTGGCAGCATAGCCGCCGGTAACGTGGGGGTGCCGGCCGGTAGGATGAAGAGCTGTCCAGCAGGTCATTCCCGTGGACTCTTCCTTCCCACGATGTCTGGCCAGGGGCATGCGTGTGGGAAGATGCGCCGCACACTTGCCCAGGGTAACGCCCGCGATCAGCTGCCCACGTGGTGGCCCATCCTGGCAAGTGTCCCCTGGCCAAATGCTGGGCCCTGTTCAACCCAACCTTTGTAGTTCTGGGGCTCAGAACTCCAGGCCCGGGCGTTCTTATCTTACTCATTCAGGCCTTCTCCCACATCTGGAGAAGCTCTCAGGGTGGGAGCGGAAGGAGCCCAACACACGCGCTCCCACTGCCTCCAGCCCAGCCTGCTCAGCTTTGTGCTCCGGCACCTAGCGAGGAAGCCTCCAGGGAGCCACACCAGCCCTCCGGAAGCGTGTGTGTGCTGGGGGGACACGCTCCGAAGCAGAAGCGAGCCTGCTGGATTGGGCTCCTGGGCAGAGCCCCTCTCCTACAGCCGCAGGGTCACGGAATAGTGGCGCTGGCGCTGATGCCCGCGGGCGCAGCACTTTCGATCGTGAGGGACACGCGTGCGAGGAACGGCTGATCCATCGAGCTCTGATGGGCAGGCCTGCCAACCAGCAGGTTGGGGATGCGTTTCCTTCCTTTAGAGGAAGAGTAGGAAGCGTAGGAGGGGTGTCTTTGTACGGCCTGCTCAGCACAACAGCCAGCCACAAGCCCACAGGGGTCGCCTCGCGTGCTCGCTGGGCTGGAGCCGTTCTCCATTAATCGGCGCTTCTTCTGCTTTCTCATTGCAGTCTGTTGCTTTGTCGTCCACAAGAGGTGCCATGAGTTTGTTACCTTCTCCTGCCCAGGTGCAGACAAGGGACCCGCTTCTGATGTAAGTAAACTGCTTGGCCAACCTTTGTCCCTGTCCAAAGTTTCAGCGTGACAGGCGGAGGCAGAGAGGCGATCTGGGAGCTCCGAACTTGCCTGTGTCGGGCCACAGACCCTGTCCCTGTGTTGCTTGGCAGACGGATATTAATTATACACACACCCTTCAACCCCCTCAGGGGTTTGAGAGTCCCCTGGAAGTCATGGTGCCCCCCTTCTCTACCCGATCCCAAGACTCCAGGTGCCTGGGAAGGTGGGCAAGTATGTGTCCTTTTCCTCCGACGCTTCTTTTTGACAGCTCAGAATCCTGGGGCAGCGTCCTCCGGCTGGCTGTACGAGCGTGCGAGGGAGCGGCCGTCTCTGAAGCGGTCAGGAGGCTGCAAGGATGCTGCTTATCTGCTCCTGCAGAGGAGCAATGCTTTGTCTCTGCTTCCACTGCAGAACTGACACAAATCTGGAAATTAAGCGTCTTAGAGCATTCATGAGAAGAGAAAATACAGAGCCTTTTAACATTACCTTCCTCCTCCTCCTCTTTTTTAGAAAAAGAGCAGCCAATTCCCCAGTCCTGTGCTCCCTTTTAATTGGTCTGCCCTGCTTTCTGCCAAAGTCCTTGAGGAAAATCGATCCATTTCTGTGGGAGGTCTATTGAATGCAAATCTCTTTTCCCGTGGAGGAGAAGCAGGATTCCGCAGGCCGGCAATGTCTCTCCAAGCAAAGGGCAGTGGGCGGAGTCAAGGGCTGGGGTCTCTCTTGGCCGGGGGCTCTGCAACAGGCAAGTGGGGCCTGGGCCAGTGCCCACCCCAGCGTGCCCCTGGGGGGCGCGTCAGTCAGGAGAGCCTGCATTTGCAAATGTGGGTCATGACTCCGTGCTGTATTTTCATCGGCCGTGTGCCTCTTGCACAACTGCATTTTGTCAGTTGCTGTGCCGTTGGTTCTGTTGATAGGCTTTAACCGTTTATTGGTGTATTGTTTTTGGTGGTGTTGGTAGTGTTTTGTGATTATTGTTTTCTTTTAATTCCGTTAACCACCCAGGGAGCCTTCCGACTACTGGGCAGTGCGCGAGTTTAGTAAGCAAGCAAACCGTGGCCTGCACAGGCTCCCGTGAGGCCCTCAGGGGCGCTGCAGCCCCTGCGCCCCCGCTCGCTGAGCGGAGACGAACGAGGCACCGGGTGTGCTGGCATGCGGGCAAAGCACCGTGGGACTGGTTTCTAGGGGAACTTGCCTAGAATTGGCTGATGGCTGGCTGATGGAATAGAATTGGCTGATACATTTATTATACTGCCCAATAGCCAAAGCTCTCTGGGAAGTTAAGAATGTTAAAAACACACAGCAAAAAAGCCCTGAAACAATAAGGCAAGCAAACCACTACAGTGGCAGATCAACACCACAAAAAGCACATGGTCCTTGCGCAATTTGTGCATATTGCACAGAGGCCATGCACTTTTGGGTGCCAATTTGCACAAAGTACTGCAATGTGCACAAACTGCACAAATTTATGCAAATTATGCAAATGGCAATTGGGCAAACTTCCTTCATTTCCATTTTTTTTAATGCACAAACTGAGGCCTGTCTTGGGGTTACCTTTGGAAAAAAAGACAGAGTCAACCTGCTTCGAGTCACCCAAAGCATGCAGGAAGCCCATCGTGTTCAAAGGAGCATCCGCACCCTTCCCCATTCCCAGCTCCTGTGGGCTTTTTCCAGGGTTTTAGTTTAGCAGTTGCTCTGCAAAGTTTTTAACGTCTGAGTGCTAGCGGACTGGTTCGGTTTGGGTTCCCGTGGAATGCTCCCCTTCTGTACAGGCCTGTTTGCCCCAGAAGCTCCCCAGGGGCCAGAAAGCCAAACCCCCTCACCTCTGCCCCAGTGCCTCCACGGTGCCGGTCCAGCCAGCGCTGCATGTGCAACTGGTAGCACTTCGGAGGAAGCCGCCTGGGGGGTCCTAGATCCCACCCTGCTCCTTAGACACCTAAATTTGGCTTCCGGGATCTCACAACGTTTCCCCAACACGCGGGCACCAACGTGGGCTGTGACCAGCAGCTGCCCGGGCACAACCTGCCACCTTCGCGCTAACCACGCAGTTCACCGCGCCTCCTGCACGCCCATCACAAACTGCGCAGGCGGTCTGGTTATCGTGGAATCTCCCCAGGGACGCATCCTGTGCTGCCCCCGCCGGAGGCGCATCCTCAGCCGGGGGGAACTTGGCCGGCCTGAGGAAGCGTCCTCAGGAGGGACGGTTTCCCTCTCCCTCTGCATGGCGCCTTTCTCCCCCAAGGATGCGGAGCAGCTGCCTGCCAGGGCGCGTGTCGTGAGGCCCTGGCCATCTTGCCCACTGCCTCCCCCAGGGCCGCAGCGAGGCGACCGAGGGGACAGGGCAGGCGGGGGCTAGCAGGACTGAGCATGGCGAGCTTCTCAGGCTTGGCTGGCCGTGAAGCTTCCTCTGGACCAGGCACGGCCCCCAGCCTCGCCTCCCGCACAGGCAGGGTCACGAGGCGCTTGTCTCGGGGTTGCACATCCAGCAGATTGGGCTCGGCTGCCCAGCTCTGGCCCGCGTCGTCCTGGCCCTGAGCCTGAGTTCTTGGCAAGCGGGGTTGTGGCTGCTGCGGGGGGCCGCCCAGGCAGGCCAGTCCCTTGCCCAGGGAGTCGCAGCCTGCTTCATTCCTGCAGCGTTGGAGCCCGGCCGCCAGAGGAGCCAGAGCTCCAGGCCTGAGCCGGCCGCGCACCTGTTCCGATGCATCCCCCCAGCCCCAGGGGATGCTGGCATCGCCACGGAGAGGCTGCGTCCCTGATGGGCTCGCTGGGCAAGCGTGCCCCAAGCCTGTGGGACACGGAGCAGGGCCTGAGCCCCACGCACCGTGCAAGCCGCTTCCCCCCTCTGCCTCGTGTACCCTTGGCTGACCCTCCCTTCTGTTTCAGGGAGACATCCCTGGAAAGAGTCCTTTCATTTTTAAGGAACAGAAGAGGAGAGAATGTTTCTGTTACGTTAAAAGCACAAGTGTAATGCTGCGGTTAGCCCCAGTCTGGCTAAGGGGGACACAGTCCCTGAGGTGACCCCCATGAGCCCTCCCTGTAAGTATCACCCTGGGCAGTGAAGGCATGTCGGAGCTCAGCCCTCAGCTCAGCACCAGCTTGGTGCAAGCGCCAGACCCAGGAGGGCCCTTCCTGGCCCTGCCGGCACTACTGAAAGCAGAGCCAAGCTAGTCGGCTCATCCCCACCGGCCCGGGTCCAGGCGGCTGCTGTGGGCCATCTCGGCAGTCCCAGGCCTGCTGCTGGAAGACTGTGTGTGTGTGTAAAGCCGGGCACTGGAAGGTTTGCTGTGCTCCAGCTCTGTGCTCTTGTGACTGGCATTCAAGAGCGAGAGGTGCTGGAGCTGCTACCGCTTTCATTTGCAGAGCGAGCAGGCCTCGAAGTACCCTAAGCAAGCAAGCAAAGTGGCTGTACGTTCCTCTCCCTTCCTTTTGCCTTTGCTCGCTCAGGCTGCCGGGGGAGCTGCACAAGGCACGGGCATCTCCCCCCACCCCACACCCCCAGGGTCCTGTCCTGAAATTGGTCGAGCATCTTTCCTGGCACCCGAGCCTCTTCACCCCACATGCTTTCAGTCGTGTCTCTGTGAGCATGAGGCAGAATGAAGCCTCCAGGGTGACTCCAGCAGCCAGGAGGATGGATGGACAGACAGACAAGAGGCAGGCAGATGCCCTGCCCTGGATCTGTTGGCCTTTCTGGCTTCCATTCGGACTGCTGGAGAAACCTCAGCTGTAGACAGTCCTGCAGAGAAGTGCGTGGCCTGCAGCTGTGGTGTTTCTGGAAGGTGCTGTGGACCTCCCTCACTGCACTGGCTGTCTTCTGGGGTGGAAGGGCAGCCACAGGAGGCCTGTGTAGAAAGTGTTTCTGCTCTTGGCTCCTGTGCACGGACTGTGTGTTCCCACGGGAGCTGCATGCGTCACCTGCCTTCTTCCCTTGCAAGGCTCCGCTTGGCCCTCTGCCAGTTAAAGGATCTGAAAAAGCGCATGTGTTCCCTAAACAGTCCTTGGGGAGAATGGTCAGATTAAACCTTTGGTGCGCCGGGTTTTTTTCTGCGGAGAAACGCTGGACTGAGCTCCCATTTGCTGCTTCGCGTGAGGCCACAGATGCCGAGGGACAGGGCGGGGCCTCCTCCTTCCAGGCGGAGAGATGCCCTGTTGGCAGTGTGGCCTCACCTGTCCTGGCCGTGCAGCTCTCCCAGTCTCGCCAGGTGCCAGCAGGTGGCATGGAAGTCATGCCCCAGGGCTGTGCTATGCTGAACCCCAGCTGGGACCAGCTACCACGCCAGCGCATGAGGGCCTGGATGCTTCTAGAGCTTGCGGTTGCTGGGCAGGGGCACCCCAGCCCGGAGACGCATGGGCGGCAGGTGCCCCTGCGCACCCATCAGAAGCGTTCCCACCTCTGCCCCTTGCTGCCAAGAAGATCACTGGCTCCGTGCTGCCGCAGACATGAGCCTGCATGATGGGAGGCATCGGGGAGGATCAGGCCAAACTCAGCAAGCTCCAGCCAGCCTCCAGGGGAAAGGAGCAGACTGCTTGGGAGCAGGGCAGAGCAGAGCTGCTTGTAAGGCGACGGACACCTGTTTGGGTCCACCTGCTGGCAGTGCTGCTTTGCTCTGCTTGGAGGCAAGGTGAGCTCCCCGCGCCCCCCGCCACACCTGGCCGCTGTGAGGAAGGAACTGGGAAAAAGTGCCCATGGAGTGCGGCAGCCCCCTCCCTCACAGCCCTCCCCTCTCAGCCAGGTGCCGCCCGGGGGCTCCTTTGGCAGAGGCCAGAGCGTGCAGGCTGGGCAGGGCGGGGCCTGGACTGAGGTCATGGAAGGGCATGGCAGAGGTGGAGGCTCTGCTCCCGAGGAATCTGCCGGGTCCTCTGCATCGGCCCCCTCTAGACAATTCCTCTCTCTGCCGTTCCCCCGCCTTGCCTCTGAGCAGAAGTGGTGTCCTGGGTGCCAGGGACCGGCCCTGTGGAGGGGCCTGTTTCGCGTGCAGGGCTTTCCGGGCCCGTGCCAGGCAGTGGCGGGCACACGCTTGCACATGCGTGTACGAGGCGGTGCCCTCCCGGAGCCCCTCCTGGTTGCCTCTTTCCAGAGGGGGCAGCCCTGGGGTTCATTCCCTGCCCACAGACGCAGGATGGGCTTTAAGACCTGGAGCAAGTGGGGAGATGCTACAGGTTGGAGATCTGTGGGGCAGGGTGGATGCCTGTGGGCCTTTCTGAGCAGGGCCAGCCCTACCACTAGGCAGGGGACAGTTGGTGGGAGAGTGGTAGGGTGTGGGAGGAAGGCAGGCAGGCAGGCAGGCAGGACGCATGCCAATGGAGCAAAGCTCAGGGAACCCAGGTTCCATTGGATGCCGGGAAGCACTTCCTGACAGTTATTACCCCGAGGGTGTGGAATGCGCTTCCACGGGAGGTGGTTGAGGCCCCATCGGTGCGCGTGTTCAAGAATAGGCTGGACGTGCACATGGTGGGCATGTCGTGAGCGGAGCCAGCTGGAGCTGGGGTCAGACTAGATGGCCCGGGAGGCCCCTTCTGACTCGCTCTGCTTCTGTTTCTATGTACGATGTTTCTATGGTGTGGTGTGGCGGAGGAGCAGACCAGACCACACCGCGTGGCTTCCCTGCCCCTCTGAAGCTGGCCTGATGCTCACAGGGATGGCGCAGCGTGGCGCATATGGAGCGGGCCAGCCCTCGGAGCAGGATTGCGCAAATGGGCGGCCTGGAGCAGCAGGCGGTGGCCCTGGGGGCCCTCCCGGCCCCTCAGCTCTGCACTCCAGGATCCTGTGACCCTGTCCTGTTGTGGGTCTGGGGGAAAAGTGCCTGGCCAGTCACAATCAGCTTATCCAGACAGAAACGTAGAAGCAGAGCGAGTCAGAAGGGGCCTCCCGGGCCATCTAGTCTGACCCCGGGCTCCAGCCGGCTCTGCTCACGACATGCAGATGGAGCAGGAGGGGGCAGCAGCACCATGTGGTCCTTTGCCCTGGCTGCAAGGTATCTTGGACCACCCCATCCGGCGTTCTTCTCTGAAAGCACCTTGATGGTGACCCCCCAAAAAGCACCTGCCTGCCCGATGCGGGAGCGGAAGTGTAATCAGACCGTTTGCCTCCGAGCTCCTAGCGAAGATTCCCACTGCTCATCGGAGCAGAGTTCGGTCGAGGCATGAGAGTGCATAATGACAGTTCTGCGGGTATCTGAAGCCCGGCTGATGGAGGTTAATTGTCGTTAACCCCCATTTTCTCCAGCTTCTCATCAGCCAGCAGCCACCCTGGCCTTTAAAGGAGCAACTTTCAAGCGTTGATGAGGTTTCCTCAGGGCACAGCCTTTTCACTTTGTGATGCAGTTAACTTTGCCAAGGCCTGTGCCCAACAGGATCACTCGCGCAGACGGGACCCAGCGAAGTCCCGTAAGTCCCGTCTGCACCACGCCGCTCGTCAGCAGCGACAGAGCCGCCCACAACACCGCCACCGCCGAAGGCAGCTCGGCGGGTCAGCGGCAGAGCCCGCGGAGCCCACTCCGCCCTGGCCGCCGCTTCTCCGCCCGCCTGCCTTTCCCACCTCAACTTTGCACTAAGCGCTTGTGATCATTACCTCGGCGTTTGCTGCAGCATCCCTCCGGACTGAGGCCGCCCTCGCCCTGTGCCTCGGTCCGCCTTGGGGCAGCCTTTCCTTGCTGGTGCCATTTCAGCCACTGGGTGTACGAAGTGCCTCCTCACCAGTATTTTATTTTGAAACACTACTGAAACATCAGTGCACTGGTGTGGGAGCAAACAGGATTGGGCTGCGACCTGGATCTGTCGGGCGGGGGGGCGGCGGGGGTTTTCGCCCAGGTGCTGCCTCTTCACGCCAGTTCCCCATTTCTAATAGTAGGGAAATGCGGGGAACCTTGGACCCCTGGAACACCATTAAGGGGGTCTGCATGTCTGTGTTCTGAACTGAAATGTGTCTTTCCTGTGTCTGGCAGTTGTGTGGGAAGTGAACTGGGTGCCGGGTGATGGATTCACGTCCCCCAGCCCTTCCCTGGAGAGTCCTGCCTGTGCTGTGTCTCAGCCCAACCCCTTTCACTGCAAAATGGTGGGGAAATCCTAAGATCGCCTTTGGGATGTCACAGAGGGCTTGCCATAGAAGGGCATCCCTGAAGGGTCGAAGATGATTGCGGTCAAGTTGATGCACTCCAGAACGCAGTTGCGAGCATCTGCTAGCATTTCTAGAAAGGCCTGGGACGCGTGACTGGTGCCTAGCCAAGCCTTCTCATTGGGTGTTTTTCCTCTCTTCTCCAGGACCCACGGAGCAAACACAAGTTCAAAATCCATACGTATTCCAGCCCCACCTTCTGCGACCACTGTGGATCCTTGCTGTATGGGCTGATCCACCAGGGGATGAAATGTGACAGTAAGTTCTCTAAAGGAGAGACAGACCCACCTGGAGCACCCCCGCTGCAAGCCGCACTGCCTTTGGGCTCGGCCGTTCGCGTGTGAGCTGCTCTTTCCAGAAGAGGGCTTTGTGGGCGGAGAGGATTGCCTAGCGGGGGAGAGCGCGCCAGAGCTGGATGTGTAAGGAATCCAGTGGGTGAGAGGGAACCGCATCAATTTTCCTGATGCGGCCCCTGGCATTCAGCTCAAAAGCCCTGCCTGCACCCCCTCATGGGGGGCGTGATTCAGGCCCGCTAGCAGCCTTCCGCCTCCAGGGTGGGCTGCACTTGGCACACCTTTTAATCACGTTTGCTAAAGGAATTTGTGCAAATGCTGCCATTCATGCCACTCGCGTCACTTTACAGAACTGGATCAGCTTTATGTAGAGTGTTAAATCCGGGCATGTCGCCTGTTTTGGGCAACTTGGCTCAGATCCAACATGACTGGCACAGAGGAGCCCCTTTTCCGTAAACTGAAAGGAGCAAGGAGAATTTCCCCTCTCCACACATTTCCTCAGGGCGTTGGGTTGGGTCTCTGCTGGTCTTGGAGGGAGATGGCTGCAGAAAGCCACCCGGTCCAGCCCATTCCCAGTCCTTAGGTCAGAAGCGGGTAGGTAGTCCGAGAAGCCTGAATGAGCCAGTTTTCCAAGTGTCAGCACATCGTCATCATCATCATCATCATCATCATCATCATCATCATCATCATCATTATTACATTTCTATGCCGCCCCTTGCCGAAACCTCGGGGCAGCTTACAACACGATAAAATACATTGAAATACAATAGCACATAATAAATTACCATTAAATTACATCCCCAGCACGAGCTAAGCTAGCCCTCACCTTGGCCTAGCCAGCCCCATTTTTCATAATTTAGGTCAGCCTTCCCCAGCCTGGTGGCCTTCAGAGGCATTTGGACTGCAGTTCCCAGAATTCCCATGCAGCAGGGCCATAGGCTAGGAATTCTGGGAGCTGCAGTCCAAACATGCCTGGAAGGCGCAAGGCAGGGAGGCTGATTGAGGTGGGTTAGCTGTGAATGAAACGGCTTCGGGGGTCCGTCCCCTGAGCTCAGAGAAGGTGTGAGGGAGGCTGTCCGCATGCTTGGCCCAGGAGAGAAGGGGCGCTCTGTGCATGTCAGTGTGTCTGCACGAGTGCTTGCGTGTGTCGAAGGCCGCGGTGTTTTGGGGGCATCCTGCTTGAGCCAGGATACCCCCGGTGCAGACAGTTTCTACGTGCTCGCCCCAGCCTACCTGGAGCCAGCAGGGAGTGGCGGCCAGAGAGCTGGGCAGCAGACCCGGGCGATCCAGTCTCCGGCCCCCTCTCAGCCCAGCAGTTCACAGGGGGGGCTTGGGCCAGTCACAGACTCTCAGCCCAGCCTGCCGCACGGGGCTGCTGCTGCTGTTGTTGTTGTTGTTGTTGTTGTTGTTGTTGTTGTTGTTAGAACATTTCTATGCCGCCCCTTGCCGAAGCCTCGGGCGGCTTACAAACACAATAAAATACAAAAATAACAATATAAAATTAAAATTAACAATATAAAATAAATAAAAATATAAAATATAAAAGAAGTCACCCTGGCCAGAAGTCACCCTGGCTGTTCTTGTTGTGAGGATAAAATGGAGCTGCGTAGGCCTCCTTGGGCTCCTCACAAGAGAAAAAGTGGGATATAAATGCAGTGTGATAGAAGAAGAAATAATAATGCTCCCACAGAGGTCTCCTCATGGGGCCCAAGGCGTGGCCGCCAAGGGACAGGCGCCTCAGCCCCCCGACCCGCGTCGCAGCTCTTCAGGGGCTGCAGCAGGCCTTGCAGTTGTCCCCTGGCCCAGTCCAGCGCAGTTGCCCTGCCGGGCCTCGACTTGGGGGGCAGAGCCAGCCAGAGGTGCCGGAGGGGAGGGGAGAGCCTGCCCTTCCCACCCAGTTCGCCCGCAGGCGGTTCTGCTGCACAGAGAGCCGCTGCCCCACGGGAGCTGCATGAGGTTCCGCCCCCGTTCGGGCGAGGAGCTGCCACCGCAGGGCCGGGTGGGAGCCCCTTCGGGGCCGCGACCAGTGCGGCAGCCCTGCCTCGGCGGGATCCTTTCAGGACCCTGGAGAGCAGCCGTGCCGGCGGGCGAGTGACCCCAGCAGAGACCTGGAGAGAGTGGCTGGCAGGCAGGCCTGGAAGGCAGGCTTTCTGCGAGGTGTCCTGCCTCTCGGGCCGCCTCACCCCGATTCGCCCTGCAAGGGCTGGCAGGGCCAGGAGGCACTCGTGGGGAGCAGCGGTGTGCCAGGGGGCAGCGCAGCTGGAGGCCCCCGAAGCGGCGAAAGAGGCTTCTCTGCATGGTTGCTCCTGGCACTGCGGAATGGGCTGCCCTGCTGGCCCCCCCGTGCCCTGCCTTCTGGCATGGCCCACGCGGACCTGGCTCCTGCCTGCCTTCCTGCCCCCAGCCCAGCCCCAGCCCCAGCCTCTGCCCACCCATCCCCGGGCACCTGCCTCTCTCCTCCCTGACCTCGCTGCTCCAGAGGGTGGTTGGACTGTGCTCTTGGACCGTGTCCCTGGCCTTTGTGCCCTAGGACCATGTGGTTGCCCAGGCCGCTGCCCCAGGCTCCCGGCCCCGGGCGGTTCAGAGAAGGACCTTGTGGCAGCGGCCCTCCAGAGCTGCTGCGGGCCTCCACCCTGCTCCAGCGCGCCAGCCCGGCATCCCAGCCAGGCTCCTGCCGCTCAGACCTGGCCTTGCAGAGGCCTCTGCCTTGACCCTCTTGACCCTAGGCAAGCAGCGAGGGAACGGAGGGGATCGGGGCAGCAAGCAGCTGCCGGAGAAGGGAGCCCGGCTCCCGGCCCTGTGCAGGTCTGCTCTCTTCGCTGCTCACTCTGCCGATCCCTGGGGGCTCCTCTGTTTCGGGGGGAGCAACAGCTCCTCTGGCCCCCGGGCGGCTCCTTCACAGGGAGCGCCAGCACAGGCACCAGCCTCGCCGCCCCTGCCCCCTTGCTGTGGCCGCGGGGGGCCACCGCGGCTCCCTTCAGGGGCCACGGCCTTGCGAGCGGGACACGTGCCTGCGCGTGCAGAGCCGGCGCTGCACGAGCTCCCACTCGCAGCTCCATCATGGAGCAAGCCACGAGCAGGCCACACAGAGGCGCCGTGCTCTCCTGGCGGCTGCTGCGGCTCCCTCCCTCTGCCGCACCAGAGGAATGCAGGGGGGTCGCCCCTGTTCTGAGGAGCCCCACTCCCCTCTCAGCTGGGTGGGGCGGGGCAGGGCAGGGCAGGGTGGGAGGAAGAGACCAGAGAGAAGGGGTGCCGGGTGGGTGGGAAGCTGTCAGAAGCTCAGGGCCGCCGTGGCAGCCGCTGGGATTAAGCCTAAGGGAAATCAACTCCCGGGATTTGCTTAGGTGCCGTGAGTGGATAGTGGGGATGCAGGAGAGCCGGTGCACGCGAGAGGTGCCCTTCCTGATGCCCTGGCAGCAGGGCGCCCTTCCCCTTCGTGCCTTCTGCCGGCAGCAGTCGGTGGAGGGAGTGGCGGTGGCTTCGCGGGAGATCCGGACTGTGCAGGGAGGGCAGGCTGCTTCCCCGGCTTGGCAGCTGTAGGCTTTTCTGCAGCATCCCAGGATTAATTCACCAGTGGGGGCACGTGGAGCAGGCTTAGGAAGACCCCTAACGGCCGTCTTGTACATTGCAGCGGGCCTCTTCAAGCACGAGCGGTTCTCACGCAGCGGCTCCATATTTGCCTGTGCACTCAGCCCGTCCGGCTTTTATCATAACGTGCGTGTTTGCGAAAGTAGATTGGACTGCAGACCCATCCCAGCAGGCTGCTGCACCACCTTGGGCGTCGCGTCGTTCTGCATGCGCCGGTGCCGGTGCCAGTCATCAACAGCCTGGGCAAAGGGATGGCGAGTGCGGATCCCTCGCAGGATCGCTTGAATTCACCCCCGCCAGGGCCCACGCTGGCAGGCTCCCAGCCTGCCCAGGTGACCGCAGGGCTTCTGCAAGGCCCTCGGCCCTGGTGCCCGGGGTGCCCCCGCTTCCACGTGCCCTCCACACACACCAGAGGTGCCCACGGTCACAGCCGGGCTGCAGGGCAGAGCGAGGGGGCATGCAGGGGCCACGGGGAGGGGCTAACTTCAGCTTTCCCCCCTGTCCCTCCCCGGCCCTCAGTCTGGATGGCAGAAATCAGCTGCCCGGGGAAAATGCGGCGCCAAGGGCATGGCAGTGGCGGAGCCGGGAGGCCTGCGTGTGTCCTGCCTGAAGGACCGTGCGGCAGCTGGGAAGGGCGGGTCTGGGGTGCTCACAGTCGCGGCAAGGAGACAGAGAGAGGGAGCCCCGTGGCCCCTCTGCTGCGGCGGCCTGGCAGGGACGGTGGGATGGGTGGGGGCCTCACGGAAGGGCGGCAGCCCCTGCCCAGGCTGGCCAGGCCCACCTCTTGCCAGGGCCACTCTGCCGGCCGGCTCCTGGCCTGCCCTTGCAGCTAGCCACCTCACGCGGAGGGAGACTTCTCCAAAGCCTCCGGCAGCAGCCCGCTGCGCCCCAGCTGCTTTCCGACTGAAGGCAGGCCGAATGGCCCGCGGCAGCATGGACAGAGTTGCCTTGGCTAGCTGCCAAGATGGTCCCAGAGTGGCCCTAACCCACCCAGCCCTGTGCCAGCACCCCTGCACCCCCCTCCGTAGCGGAGCCCACATGAAATGCACGCCGTGCTCCCTTCTGCTTCAGACTGATGGCTTTTCTCCCCCCCCCCCCCGCCAGCCTGCATGATGAACGTCCACAAGCGCTGCGTGATGAACGTCCCGAGCCTGTGCGGGACGGACCATACCGAGCGGCGGGGCCGGATACACATCAAGGCAGACATCGAAAACGAGGTCCTCACGGTGGTCGGTGAGTTTGCTGGGCGGCGGCTTGTGGGAACGTCCAAATGCAGAATTCGCTCGCAGGCAGTGTCAGGTGGCACACATGCGCCTCTTTCTTGAGCAGCATGTGCCCCCGAGCAGGGCCAGCAGGAGGAATCAGTGGGGAGCTCCGTGCTGCCAGGAGAGGGTGGGGGGGCAGCCCCCGCCTTCCCTCAGGGGTCAGCGTGGCAAGCCATCCCGGCCAGCCACTGCTTCTCTGCCCTTCCCTGGTTGCACGACTGCCCAGTGGTGGCCGCCGCCCAGGGCAAAGTGGCCCCCTGCTGGTGCTCGTGCTCCTGCCCTCCAGAGCCACCTTCTGAGCAGTGTTGTCGCTCAGGGAACCTGTCCGGCCCCAGGCTGGTCCACGGAGGCCACCTGGCCCCACCTGCAAGACCAGGCTCTGCGCTCGGCCGGGAATCCAAACAAAGCGAAGCCAAACGTGTTTGCAAAACAGAGAAGTGAGATATCCAGCTAACCGTTTTCTCCTATTAAATTTGACTTGCTTACATTTCTTACATGTGACTTGGTTACAGTGAACGCAAATACACCGTGTAGCACAAACGTCTCTGTGTTTGTCCGCTTGGGGATGAAAGCTAAAACCGGCTGGTTCAAAAGACAAAAGCCGCACTGAGCCCTCAGCTCATGGTGTTGTCAAAGGCAGCCTTTGTCCTTCCGTTGTTGCAATGGAAAACTTCTAGTTGTGATTGCAAGTCTGTTTGTCGTAATGCAAGACTCTCAGCTGTCATACAAGTGTGGAAAGTCCATTTACATTGACCTTGTTTTAATTCCAAAGCTGGGCAGTTAAGAACATGTAAGTCCATAAATAGTAAAGAAAACTGTTCCATCATCAGCTCATCCATATGTCTGCCTCCTCCTAAAAGAGCAGGCCACCGGGCATTGCCAGAATGCAGAATGGTCAGCTGCATTGTATCTCAGGCGACTGGCAGATGCAGGTAAATCCTCATTGAGAAGTTGCTGGAGCATCCAAGATACTCAAAACACCCATTTTTGCTCTTTTAAACACAACCTGAACTCCATTCCCCCTTCTGAGACAGACGTCTGTGAAGTGACCCATTGATTGGACAAAAGAGGTTGCTGCAATTCCTGAGTTCATTCTTGCGTAAGACCCTGCGGATCATATCTGCTTACCGATAATAGGTCTTTATAAATAACAGATTGTGGGTCAGTTCCGCTGTTCAGCCCCGATCAGTCATTCTGAGAACAAAGGGGCTTTGAAGTGCAAAAAGCAGCGCTGCTTTTTCTCTCCAGGATCAGGCCTCTCTGAGAGGCAGCAGGCGCTCTCTTGTGGCATGCCAGGAATCTGCGGCTCCCTGGAGGGAAGGCATGCCGAGTCTGGCCGGGTGGGCATTTCTCCCATCCCAGATCTTCTTAAACCCACTGCCTCGAGGCTGCCGCTCAGTCTCTGCGAATGGCCTTCGTGCTTCTGGGAGCTGCGCGGAGCTGTTGCAGGCGGACCCCTGGGGGCCTGACGCCAGCTTGTGCAGCCAGGCCCAGCGGGCGCCTCGGGGCAGGTTGCTGGGGACCACAGGGGAAGGTGGGCTTCTCTAGTGGGTTGGGGGGCTGCCCAGAAGGCCAGCCCTACTTCAAGCACACCTCGAGACTGAAAGTGGCAGGAACTCAACCAGGGAACGCCTTAGACTGGCATAACTTCTGCTCTTTTCATGTCGCCGCGCTAGCGCCGCTGGTTTCCACGCTGGTGTTGTGCTGCAGTTCTAAACTTCTCAGAGTTTTCTATTATGTTTTATTTTACTGTATTTTAGGGTTTTGATTGTTGGGAACCCCCCAGTGACTTTGGCAATTTGGCAGCGTAGAAATGTTAATGAATAAAAATGGCTTTGTCTCTGTTTTCTGTATGTATCCCTCATTAAGCTGTAGCATCACTTTCATGGCACTAATTTGGAAGCAGAATTGTGCCTGCCGCAAGTGCCAGTTGCAGTGGGACGTGGAGCTGTGGCTGGGGGCAGGGTCCCTTGCAGGCTGCCTGTGAGGGCAAGGAGAGGCCGCTCCAAGCCAGGAGGCTCAGCGCTGACCTTGAGCTGCATGGCCGAGGGGCATAAAACGGTGGTGCCCAGCTAAAAATGCGAGACGGGGCACAAGCAGGGGCCGTGATTGAGTGATGGCGGAGCTGCGTGGTCTTTGAAATGTGCAGGGGTGTTGTGGTGTGTGGTTTTGGATAACCAGGCTCCTCAGGAAGGAAGTTGCATTGTTTTTCCGAATTCACAGTAATATTTCCCCCTCGGTTGGACAAAATGCAGCGCTGCTGCTAAACTCTCACTCCACACAGGGGCCCACTTCTTACAGCTCTGGAAGTACTCCCAAGCCCTACATTCCACCTGGGTCATTCCCACCCAGGATAAATTCCCAGCCTGTCCTGAAGGAGGGACGGGGTCACCCATTCGCTTGCTTCGGCCAGCCTGCCTGTGACCGTGAACGAGGCACATTGTGTTGTGGAATGCATTGTTCTTGCTTCGTCACTTGGCCAGCTCCTTGCCGCCCTCTCAGTCGAGGTGGCCTGGCCTGGCCACCGTGTGCGGTGAAGGCAGTGCCGGGCCTCGAGGTGCCCCGCGCTGGCCTTTGCACAGGTGGCAGGGTGCGCCTGCCCGCGTTGCCCGAGGCTTCCGAGTCCCTCGCTGCTCACTGCGGCAGCGTTCGGGAGTAGCCGGCATCCAGTCCCAGTCTGCGGGCTGTGGAGGTGGCCGTCCGCTCATCTCTGGCAGCAGCGGTGTGCCTCGGTGCCCCACGGCCCCCGTGCATCTGTGCCCCCAGCTTGTCCAGAGTCTGGGCGGCTCGTGGTGTCGCCGGCCACCACCTACGGCCTGGCGGGTGCCTGCAAACTGCCACACCAATGGGGTCACCAGGAGCTTGCTGAGAATCTGGGTGGCCCCATCAGATCTGGTCCGGGCATTAGGTGGCGCCGGAGAACACAGACCGGGGCTTCCCTGTTGCCGTTTGTTCCTGCTGGAGGTGCCGGAAGGTTCCTGCTCTGCTCCCAGCCTGGGGTGCTCTGGGCCTTCAGTGATATGAGCGTCCCTTGCAGGCTTGCAGTTGTGGATTGCTGCTTATGAGCGTGTTTGCTGCACCTCAAAACCACACCTGGATCCCACTGCCGGGGAATGGCCAGCCAAGAGCCTTGCAATGTCATAAAGCTGAAGGGATGGCTGGAGCAGGCACTTTCAGAGGCGTGAATCTGCCACTTTTCCTGCAGCCTGATGGCATGGGAGGCCCTTCCGGGTCCTGCCACTTCCCTGTCCCGTTCCTAGTAGCCCCACCCTGTTTCCTGGCCTGGGAAGGAGAGAGCACGGCTCCTTCCTGAAGGCCTTTTCTGCGGGTAGTGCAGGCTGTGGGAAGAAGCGTGTTCAGCGCTGCAGCCTTCAGCGTCCTCAGCAGTGACTGCAAGCGCCTCCGGTGCGCACCCGGTGCATGAGCGAGGGTGGGAGGGAGAGTGGATGATGGGACAGCTCTGAGAATTCTCAGCGTGGATCGGGACTGCACATTCTGGAAGTGTGGCTGAAGCCTTCTCCCACCCGTTTCCATACCCAACTTCCCGGCCCTTTGCAGGGATTAAAAGAAGTTTCTGCTGGAGAAAAGCTCTCCATCCCAGTGAAGAAGTCGCTATCTGCTCCTTCACAGCTGACCTGGAGAGCTGAACATTCAGCCCAGTCTGGTCCACCACAGTCCCAACCTGGTTGGGTCATAGTCTTCCTCACTCTGCATTTACCAAGGCTGGGAACACTGGCACCCAGTTGTTGTCAGCCTTGTCCAATTGGTCTGGTTTGCTGGTCAGTTTGTTTATTTGTTTATTATTTATGAAATTTGTATGCCATCCAATTACCAGCGTCTCTGGACGGCTAACAGCATAAATAAATTGTTGACCCACTCTGACTGCAAATACAATATTAAAATTCAATATTAAAACATATTAAAATATTGATTAAATAAAAAGGTCTTAACCTGGCGCCGAAAAACATATAATGACGGCGCCAGGCAGACCTCTCTGGGGAGCGCATTCCATAGGTGGGGCGCCACCACAGAGAAGGCCCTCCTCCAGGTACTTTGCCTCCTAACTTCTTTCATGGATGGTTCCCAGAGGAGGGCCTCTGCTGCTGATCTCGGGGTGGGAGGGCAAATAGGGAAAAAGGCATTCCTTAAGGTATCCTGGTCCCAAGCTGTTTAGGGCTTTATAGGTAATAACCAGCACCTTGAATTGAGCCTGGGCTTCAATGGGAAGCCAGTGGAGCTGACGGAGGACTGGGGTTATATGAGAATAACGCCCAGTCCCCGTCAGCAACCTGGCAGCTCTATTTTGCACCAACTGAAGTATCCAGACCATCTTCAAGGGCAGCCCCATGTAGAGTGTGTTATAGAAGTGTAAAGCCGAAGTCTAAAGCCGAAGCTGAAGGAAGGCGCTCCTCGCCACCGCTGTCACTTGAGCTTCTAACGACAGCTCCGGGTGGAGGAGCACTCCCAAGCTGCGGACCCTGTCCCTAAGAGGGAGAGCAACCCCATTCAGGACAAGGTCCAGGACCCCTACCCCGAAGCCCGAACCACCCACCAACAGGACCTCTGTCTTGTCTGGATTGAGCTTCAGTTTATTGGCCCTCATCCAGCCCGTTACCTCAGCCAGGCACTGGTTCAGTACAGCCACTGCCTCACCTGGATTGGTGGAAAACGAGAGGTAGAGCTGGGTATCATCAGCGTACTGGTGATTCCGCAGCCCACACCTCCTGATGACCTCTCCCAGCGGTTTCATGTAGATGTTGAATAGCAAAGGGGACAAAATGGACCACTGCGGAACTCCGTGGCATATCTGCCATGGCGCAGAGCCATAGTCCCCCAGCACCACCTTCTGGAATCGGCCGTTGAGGTAGGAGCGGAACCACTGCCAAGCAGTGCCTCCTACTCCCAGTCCCACTAGCCTATCCAGAAGGATACCATGGTCGATGGTATCGAAAGCCCTCCAGTGTCCTT